CCCTCCGTATCGACGTTGATCGGGACCGATGCTTCGAAAGAACGTGCATGCTCGACGCTGTGCCGTGAATGAACAAAAAGTGTTTATGCTGTTACATGAAGAACCACGGTGAAACTCATGTAGCATGGACACATAATTGGGGACGTTTTTGTTTCAGCATTGGGAATGAGTTGAATATGAATTGACTGGATACTTGAAACTAAAACTGGCATGAGGGAAGATTTTCCATTCATTCTTCCAAGCTACACTTAGTAGTATATTACTGGACAACACACCGTATACTGACGTGATAATGCTGTTACCCACCGCTCATACGCATATTTACAAAATAGTGACTTTTGTTTCATGGGATCCAGGTTTTGCAATGCAGTCCACGTCGAAAAATATTTGCGAATCTGTGGAGCATGCGTGCTCTCCCTCGCTCTCTCTGTTTGTACAAGGCGTGCATAACTTAATGATTTAATATTCGCCCTTAAGCTAGAATGGACGAATATTGTCCAAGGGATATTGATAGGTTTTTGTAAAGTTTGACGACATGTCGGTAAACCGAATGACAGCTGCACGCAATCTTAAGCAGTAACTACTGAAACCGAGCTGAAGTGTGTGTGTGTGCGTGTGTGTGTGTGAGAGAGAGAGAAAGAGGATCCTCTTCGTTTTGCTGCTCCCTCGTTTATCACGTGTTCCGCTTTAAATAGCACATAGTGCGTAGTGTCATTCTGAAATTTGGAATCCCGTGCATTCGGTCACTCTGACTATAGTTTTGGTTTCTTTAGTGAATACAGAAACATGAATTCGCGGAGGAATGAGGGTGATCGGGTGCTTCTGTCATGCACTGCATTTCACCCAGTCAGTTGTATTACTAGGTGATCTCGTATGGTGTTCGCGGTAGATATATCGGTTTTCTGACCGCATTGGTGAGCATAGATCGATTTTGCATGAGAGTTCGTTCGCGAAATCGAACAGTTGTGGGAATTTTGTCCAATACCACACGATTTCACGTGTGTTCGGCCTCGTAATTGAGGTGGAATTGTGTGTGTGTGTGTGTGTGTGTGACACTTCTAGGCATATCGTAGATTATCGACAGACTATACCTATGGCCCTGCTTGATATGAATGACCATGGCTCGAATTTCCGCTTCTCTGAGCATGTTCACCTCAGCACTATCCATTTGGCGGTTTTTGCTTACATACCTACATTTTGGGTGAACAAAGAAGATGCGACGTAAAATGACTCGCTGGTCTCCTGGCCATGGATAACGCCCAGTAATTAGTTTGTCGGAACACTAGCATTGTTGAGTTTTAGAATAAATAAATAAAAACATGAGCATAATTTTGTACCTGAAATATGATTTACTCCTGGTTTTTCACATGTCTGACGCGAGTTTTCTATCCGTGAATGCACTCCATGATCCATAAAGACTATTTAAAAGTGCATAAAAAGCACAATTCTATCGCCTTAAACAAACACGGGCTCCCCCCTCCCCGCCTACCCCACAGACACAGATGAGACTGTATAGATTTACGTCTCTTCAGTGGTATTGTCAAACCGGGTTGCAATGTTGTTGTGACGCTTGACAAATGTTGTTCGACCCAGTCATGTGAGCAGTTGAGGCCACACACACACACACACACACACACACACACACACACACACACACG